AAAAGAAGTTTCACCATTTTCTGAGTTTGTTTATTATATATAATTTATGCAGGGGAAGGGGGGGGAGACAAGTAAACAAATCAAACACCCTGCTGTAAAAGCAGATAAGATTTTTCTGTTTAAACTTATGATACACCCTCAACCATGTTCTACTTAAACATTAAATAAATGCTTGTTTAATTGTATTTTACAATTTTAAGAATGTAATTCTGTATCTCGTTTTAAAATTGATTATCTTGATTTTTCCTATACTTTTTTTGATCTCATGGGACATAAGTATTAACATTCATTACTGTGATGTTGTATCTATGTTTTTGTGACAGTTTGGAATCTGACGATTTAAAATTTGTTTAAGAAATATCTAAATTTAACAGTTTGGCAATGCTGTTTCTCCAAGAGATGCAGTGGGGGCTAGAAGAAAAAAGGTAGTCTTTAAAAAAACAAGACGACTCCTGTGTACCTTCCGTGTTTCAGATGCCCAGACTGTCATAATCAAATGTATGTGAACAAGGAACCCTCGCAATGAAGATTTCTGCAAAGACAGTTTTTGTTAGCTAGGTGATTTTGTGGGTAAGAAGTTCTGTAATGAACATATTAATTGTAGTATTATCTGGTAGATTTTGTAGACAAAGCGCTCTATGGACTTGAGTCAGCCATAGTTTACAGCTCTCTGCACTATATTCTCCTTATAACTTTAGAAACCAAGTCAAGATGTATAAGAAAAGAGGATTCTGGGTTGGGCAGGCAGGGAATGGGACCCTGATGGGCTTCAGTCAAACACAGATATAATTACAGGGGACCAAATATTTTAAGCATGGTGAAATCATGTATGATCACAGGTCATCATACAGTTCCTTTCATTAATACAGTTAGATCAGTCTCTGTTACCTATTCCTTAGCCTACTGAAGAGTTTTTCAGAACTCTATTAATCTGATGCTAAAAAAACATTCATTCATTTCTAATCTAAAGGCACAGATATTTCTGAACTAGATTTTAAATGTGTATCACCTTTTAAACTAAATGGATCTTTAAGCATCTGGAACACTGGTTTGCTATATAGTGATACATTTTTCTCATCTCAGCTGTTTTCAAAGCCTGCCTGTATGTAGAAATAAAAAGGGGGAAATAAAAAAAGGAGTCTCTTTTGATATTTAATTGAAATTAAGAAAATTCTTAATCTGTTCTACTGTAGTATGAAGGGCTGCTAGCCAACAGTCTAGATGAGAGGTATTAGGGAAGCCCCGTAGCAGTATACCAAATACCATTATCAACATCTTCCAACCAATATGAGTGCAAAGGGAAAGCTATAATAATCAACTAGATTTATGAAATAGCAGTATTATTTAACCAATTTAAATTCATATTTCAGTTTATATATCGTTAGCAAGGTTATCCTTAACGTCCAATTATTCTTAATTTAGTTGTAAACCGAATGCTATATTTATAAAATAAAAATGTATTGAGAAAAAAACCCAAAACAACTCTTTTTATTTTGTTAGTTTTGATTAGAGAATATTTTTTCATTAGATGAGAAAGGGGATAAAGAAAGATGAAATGTGCATGTGTCTGAGCAAAAGCATAACTAGAAAGAATTGTTTCTGGTTTTACTGCTTTGTATTTAGTATTGCTACAGAATGCTTGTGCTGTTAATACTTTGCTTGAAAAGTAGGTTAAAAGTCATGTGTTTGAAATGATTATCTACTTAGTCTAGTGACTCCTAATAATGTGCCTGCATGCCTGTCAGAACATTTAGCCGTGGAAGAAATACAGCTAGTCACATTACATTTTTCCATAAATCTTTTATGAAGTAAGAGAGTGTTTTTGTAGTATAAATTATTTATCAATTCAATACTATGCTGCTATTGTGCCCTTAAAGTTTTAAATTAAATCTAATTAAGAATTAATTCAAGACTTAATCTGAAGTTGAGTGGATTTTATGAAAATGGCCTTTTATAGAAACCTCCTCCCTGCCTATGCACCCTGAGTTTTCATTATCTTAGTACCATGTGAATCTAGAGAAGCTTCCATATTCCCTTGCCTTTAGAAACGTGGAATATGTTTTAATTTCATTTTTCCTGATGTTGTCAGGGTCCACAATTTGTCAGATAGCCAGAATCTGTTGCCTTTATGCCTAGAATTCATAATTGCTCTTTAGAACAGTTGATACAATAAATTTTTGTTGATTATATGTTTAGCAGTGTATACTAAACTGTAGTTTAAAAATTCTTCTTGTGTTTTTGGGGCAAGGAAAGGGAACTGTAATTAATATAAAAGCTCTCTCTGTCAACATTATAATGGATGGAAATAAATGAACATGTGTGGGACATGTGACTGTTGAGTTACTGTGTTTCTCTATTAACTTCTGAATCACAATTTTAACCTAGAAATGAGATGCAAACTAGACTAAGCATGTACATTGTGTATGTATTGGTTGCCGTTTAGGTAAGAATTAATGTACAAAGCCAAGTATACGACCATATTTGTATATATATTGCTGTGCCAATTGTTTTTACTTTGGTATGAAAATATTATACATATTTCTTAATTAAATGGGTTTGGTTAATACAAACATAAGTACTCTCTTTTTAAACCATTTTTACTTGAATGCTGAATTGTTTTTTTAGATAGAAGGCTGTCCTCAGGTCAGAAAGTTCCTGAGCTGCAGATTGCTGGAGACAGGGGGAATGCACTGGAGGAATGGCCTCACTAAGCTTGCCCTCTGTTCAGGGGGTGCCCTTGACACCAAGACAGGGTATGAAGCTGTAGATGAACCTTTTGTGTGACTCAGTATAGTGATGCTTATACTTTCTTTTTTTTGTACCTTGCTTAGACAAGGGATAGCGTAGCATAAGTGAATACCACCTGACTTTTATGTCCTGAAGAATCACAGTGACAGTTTTACAGGAACCCCAGAATCTCATTTAGTTCGTGTATAAAAAAGCATCAAAATATTTTATAGTATTTGTGTTTCCTCTGGTATACATACAAAAAATTACATGCCCTTTTTTGTCTATATAGAAATGAAAATAGAACACCAAGGAGCATGGGCACACACACTTACCTATATATCTTATTGTTTAGGGGGCGTGTGTGAAAAGTGCTTTAGCATAGGTTGACACAGAACTTGAGTGTGGTTGAGCAGCTTCCAAGAGACACGTGCCTGTGTTCAGGACACAAGCCTGAAATGCCAGGTCTGACTTCATGGGTGGAAAGGCAGTGGGCAAATGCTCTAACGTAGATACCTTCATCTGCGGGTCAGGTTAGGAAGTAGCTCTTTATTACCCTACAGCTGTCAGTGCAGCTTCTAGCTGATATGCAGCTACTGGACCTTTTCAGAGTGACCTTTTCAATTTGGTGCTAGAACTGAGGAGAGCATTTATATAATAAAACGCGGGTCTTGGTATGGAAGCAAAAATGATTAAGTGGTTCACAGGTAACGACTGCTGCCTGACAGCTAATGTCTTTAGCTGCCACCATTTGGCTCTGACCAAGGCACACAGGACTGTGCAGACAGGACTGGACAGGATAGGACTGTTATGATGTATTTTGTTTCAGCAGAAAGTCATTTAGGTTAGTTAAAATAACAAGTGCTTTTGAAGGAACCTCTTTAGTTTCCTATTAGAAAAACAATTATGCTGTAGGGCGATGGTCTCCAAACTTTTTTGATCGTGCACCCCTACCAATAAAATTCCCACGTGAAGCTTATTGTAGCTAAACATTTTTCATAACTAAAAACATTTATTAAGTCAGCTTTTTATGTACTTCTAATATCATTGCTTTAACTGCTTTTATTTGGATACATGCGTTTGCTTAAAGAAACCATACATTCTGAATTGAGGCTGTGAAATAAAGCTCATGAAGTCGCAGCATTCTTGGCATTTAAAAGTATTTCTGTCAGGTTTCTTCCATTTAATAGAAAAGTGGTGTTGGATTTTTTTTTTTTAAATAAACTGAAATGATGACTAGTAACATGACAGAAATAGAAGGCAGATATTTCATGTTGTCATATCGAAAGGGAAGTAATTTTTCTCATATTCCTAATTAAGATAATATAGTGATTTTTGCTTAGAAGATTTTGCTTGGTCAGAGGAACAAACAAAATACTTAGAAATTTGGTGGGTGGTGTGGGGGTGGAGGGAATTACATGCAAAAATTGGAAAGCATGGACTTTCTGTCACTTGAAAACTTAATCAGTTAATGAATTTGTCAAAGAATGTGTGGAATTTTAGAAATGAAAGTATTTAGTGACATCTTTAGTTTTGGCCATGAGTAATAATAAAATGTTTGTGACTGAACAGTAAGCGCTGGCAAGGAGGTTATAGCAACTTGCACAATATCATGAACAACTGCAAGGGTATCTGCATTGTACCTTTCTCTTTTTCTTAACCAGAAACTTAGCGGTTCATAAGTTTGAGGGATGTTTTGAGAAATCTGAACTAGTTTTCTTGTGAAGAAATTCCTTTGGATTCCGAATTCACTGGGTCAGGCTGGAGATTACTTTATGGATAATTTTAGCTGTAACATTAGTGGAAATTCTGTAAGAAATTGAATTTTATGAATATGAGTAGGACAACCAAACATTCTTTTGTGAAATATATTTTTTTCTGTATTTGGAGTACGGTTTATTGTAAATCAGCTAACACTTTGATGTGAAAGGATCCCGTTCTGTAATCCACTTCACTGTCTAAAATGTGAAACAGGGAGCATTTAATGTGAAACATTGTCCTGTTAAAATACTGTCTCAGAGAACTTTATTTTAGGTACATTGGTGCATGACTTCCCAGGTGAGTTTTAACAAGTTGAGCTACATCTAGAAGCTTTTAGGGAGTTCAGACAACCATTGGAACGTGCTCCTGTTAGTTGACTTCATTACCGGTTTCAAATAATGCATTCATTTTCTTTTCTAAAGTTCTGAGAAATGTTAACTTTTTGTAAGAATGCTAACATTTTAGTTTGAAACTTCTTTCTGCTTATTGACTGAAGTGTTTCTGTTTTCAAGGGAACAAAAGAAATTGAAGGTGAAGAGGAGTCTGGTTTAATTCCGCCTGCAGAAGTATTTGCTCCTAAAAGTCTGGTGTTGGTGTCCAGACTAGATTACCCAGAAATTTTCAGGGTAAAGAACTTGCAAATGCCATTTATAATATATGTCAGCAGACAAATCTGGTTTTAATGAGTAGCAGTGACAGTACTTTTGATTTAAAACATCTCAGGATTGATTTGGGAATCTAAAAGCAAAAGTAGGCTTAGATTGAACTAGGTAGAATTTGGTGTCTATGACAGTAAAAGCCCCTGTAGGTTGAAGCAGTACTTTTTTACCCTCCAAGCAGTTTTAAATCTACATAGAAGATAAAATAGAGATTTTTCTGGGCTCAATTTACTGTATAATGAAGGGAATTATTAGGACAAAACCAGACTTGCTCAGGTGAAAACAACACATTAACAATATTTGATTAAATATATAATGGTAAATTAATAGCAAAATCCTAGTTTTCCTCCATACGTAAGGCAAAATGTCAGAGCCTCTTCCAGATCAAATTAAGATGCATGACAGAGGTTTAGGATCTTGGATTACTTTCAGCTGATGAAATACGGCTGATCTGAGATAAATGAAAAGCTTAAATTTTTATTAAGCTAATACATATTAAGAGAAACAAATATAGTTCAGTTTACAGATCAAGGGAGGAAATCATTCAACAGTTAAGTTGTCATTAGACATTAAGAATGACTGTACCGAGTGATATTAAAAGCCCACGTAGCCTAGCATTTTGTCTCTGAGAGTGGCCTGTAGCGAATGCAAAGCAAAGTGTGTAAGAATAGGGCAGGCTGAAGAAATAATTCCATAAAATACTTTCCTGTGAATTATAGTTAAATGACATCCTGAACCAGAGGTGTCAGATTGTGTGTGGTTTTTGTATAATTTGTCCAGTTTCTTAATGCTCAGATTTTACAACAATCTATGGCAAGGAGTTTCACAGCTTAACTATGTGTTATATGAAAAGTTACTGTTGGAATAGTTTCTAAGAAGAGAATTCCTAAAATATTTGCTGAATTATAAAAATTACAGCAGTTAAAAGGCACCAAAAGGCTGCTGTGGAACAAAGTTATTTATTTCCTTTTTTCCAAAGGCTTCTTAGAACATCATGTTAAATCATCTTACATTAAATTATTAGTAAAAATGATAAAGCTCTATCTGTGATTTCTCAATCAAAACTGGATCCATAAAAAAAATGGAAATGCTGAAGTGTTAATATACTGTTCATTTTAAAATATATTTAAATAACAAAATAAAGAATGTAAGTTAAATAACACATGGAATTGTTGATCCTTGGTGCTAGTCTTAAAACGAGCTTCAGAAGTTCATTGATTCATCAGTGTTCTACTCTGGAAACCAGTCAGTTTTAGGTCCATAGAATTTAAAGCACAGATGAAGCTATGTTGATTTTATAATTTTTAAAAGGAACTTGTAGTAAAGCACTTTTTGTATAATGAACAAACCACAAATATTAAACATTTAATTTCTTTTATAAAAAGAATATATTTACACCTGACAGCACATACATCCCTTCTAAATAGCCAAGCTAATTTTTTTAAATGAATGATTGCTTTGTCTTCACTTGGAAAGTACTTCACTACATTAATAACTATTAAGACATACTTATTTTTTAAAAATTATATACACAGATCTTTAATTTGACATCTGCCTTCCCTGTATAGCAGTCTAATATATTTTGTCTACCTTTCTAGGCTTGCCTTGGCCTGATCTATACTGTGTATGTGGACAGCCTGAACGTGTCACTGGAGACTCTCATTGCAAATCTGTGTTCATGCCTTGTCCCTGCTTCTGGAGGGTCTCAGGTAAATGGGAAGAAAAAAAAAAAAAAAGGGTATTTTTCCAGTTAATTTAATTTATGAAGAAAACAAAAAATAAATTCTTGAAATATTTTTGAAGAAAAAAGAGCATAGTTCAGCTGAGTGCTTTCCCTGTGGCCTGTCTTCTAAAGACAGCAAAAATTCCATTCCAGGATAAGGTCAAAGGGTTAATTTTGTCACTGAGTTGGCTTTTTACAAGGCACAGTAACAAATCAAGCAGTTTGTATAAGTTTAGTTTTTAATAATAATGTGTGTTTAGGAATATTTCTGCTTGCTACAGATTTTTTTTAAAGGCTTTTTTTCTTTGCCATTTTTTAACATGTCCTTCACTTTAGTTCATTTAGCTGTGTCTTTTCTTTGATACAGTTCAGGATTCCACTGGTCTTTTCTTTGGTAACTCTTTTAAATTTCTTTTTTCATAAAATTTAAAAAACATGCTAAAAAATAACTTGGACGCGGTTTTCTCAGAGGTAATTAAATATTCCAGGTGGCCCATGCATTCAAAAATAAGAAAAAAGTTTTCAAGCAACTACATTTCTTTCTGCTGTTTACCTGTGCTTTCTGTGAGCAGAAAGTCAGGTTTGTTTGTTGATTTACTTTAAATAAATTACTCATACATTTGTGGGTTTCTGACAAGCCAGTTGGGTCTTATGTGCTTGGCCTTCATTTTATGCTGTGACACTACTGGGAAATTGTAGTCCTTATCATGAAGCATACCTGGAAACTAAGTACACAAATGGCAATATTTTAAAGTTGATTTATAGAATCATAGAATAGTTTGGGTTGGAAGGGACCTCTAAAGATCATCTAGTCCAACCCCCCTGCCGTGGGCAGAGACATCTTCAACTAGAGCAGGTTGCTCAGAGCCCCGTTCAACCTGACCTTGAATGTTTCCGGGGTGGGGCATCCACCACCTCTCTGGGCAACCTCTTCCAGTGTTTCACC